CAGGCCTGTGCAATATGGTTGTGAACCAAATGGCAGCGGAGGATCTACACATAGCACATGTTGCCTGTGAGTGGATTCTTGGTTCAGCAGGAAGCAAAACAAGAAACACCCCCTCCCCCCCTCCCCCCCTTCCCTCCTCACACAGGCCACACGCATGGCGCAGCTGCTGGGGCGGCGTGCGCTATTCCGCCCCCTCCCTGCCCACGCCCGCCACAGCACTGCAAATGACCATGGGCGCAAGTGATCTTTTTTTAATGGGCGTAAGTGATGCTGTTGAAGCAAAATGGGCGCAAGTGATCCCATGGGCGCAAGTGATCCCATGGGCGCAAGTGATCCCAATCGTGCGGGCGCAAGTGATCCCTCCACCTTCTTTTTTGATTTTTTGGAGAAAAACTTGCCACAATCGAGGGCCTCCAAGCAGTCCAACGATCCTGAATTAGGAAGAGACTTTACGCAACACATGCTACCGCCTTTAAAGCGTGGCGAAATCATGCCTGCGGACTGCAGCGGGTTGTCTCCGCAGCGCAGCACCCCTCGCGGTACGTCTCATGTTCAGTTTGAGGATGGCAACGAGATCACGACCGACGACAGCTGGCAAGGACGTCCTGCAGGTCTGCGTGGCAACGCCGCCTTACTGATCCAGCATCAGCGCCGGAGGCAACGCAGATACTCTGACGCACCCACTGGAGCAAATGACCCGCCGCCGACAACGAGGCGGCCGGAACCGACAGCCGGATGCGCAGCAAGGAAAATGGAAGAGTGCGGGAGCCAGCGTGGAATCGTTGCGCAAGGTGAGACTCCTGATCTTTGCGTGCCGCCGCAGCCGCTTTCACTAGCAATGGCTTCGTTGCGGACCACGTCAACCAGATGCTCAATGCCAAGGAACAAAAAAGCCGAGCCCCAGAGAAGGCGAGAATGCTAGGCTGATCAAAGCGGCCACCGTTGCGAAGCCAAGAGTGGTGGAAGACCGGTGCGGTGGAGAAGTTGACGAGACCAAGCAAAACTTCGCAGCAGGTGGTTCGCCAGCGTCGGCAAACCACCGACACGTTCCAAAGCCCAGAGCGCAAGCCCGATGTCTGCCCCCATGTTCATGAATACCCACAACGCCGAGCGGGTCAAGGTTTCAGCGCGGGGGACGCGCCTACAGCGCGGCTCGCGCTGGGAGATGTCAGATGCAAGGGGCGCCAGCTGATTTCAGCAGCAGCAGCCATGGGAACCCCTCCAAGACGACAGTCGCCATCAGCCGCAGCATGACCAACCTGGCAACAGCAGAAAGCCAACATCGAATTTGAGGTCTACACGCTACATTGCTTTCCATCACGCAGAATTGTGGGAGGCGCCGCGCCTTCATCGTCCATCGCAACCGCAGCGATGATGCGGAGACCGACGCGCCAGCTAGTACCCATCGGCCTTCGTGCGAGCTCTGAGGCACGCCAACGCCAAGGAGGAAGTGATCAATTTCAAGAAATGCAACGCTCCCCCCCAAGGCCCCCCTCAAAAGTGAAGGGTGGTTTAAGGATTGTCCTTTTGGCAAGGACAATTGAGCTTAGTTAGGCTCAATTAGGCCAAATTAGGCTAGTTGGCTAAAACCGCATTTTGCAAATAAGCCTAGAAAAAAGCCTAGTTTAAGCTCAACCGAGCCTTGCCAAACCCGCCCAACATTAGCTCTGTCAGTTGATCGGCGTCTGCGTTTCTCCCATCTCACGTTTGTGAAATCAGTCCAGACGCTGAAATTTGACTCTGTGACATACTGGGATGGTCAGCGTGAGCGTGTCAGCATGGAAAACCCCCTCCACTCCCAACAACTTTCAGACGGTTTAAGCCGTCTTTGGCTTAAAGCGCCCTTAACATTTTTGGGGGGCGCCGTGTAAATAGCGTCATTTTGTGGCACCCCCAAAAATTCCAATTTGATTTAAACTCGTGAGTAGGTAAGCAGCAGTAGCTGGTGAGAGATCTCCCTAGTCTAAACTCGTGGGATGGCAGGACACAAAGGCAGTAGGTGAGCAGCAGTAGCTGGTGAGAATCTCTCTGGTCTAAACTCGCCGTGGGAGGGCACAAAGGCAGCAGGTGACTTGCAGTAGCTTGAGAAATCTCCCTGGTCTAAACTCGTGTGATGGCAGGACACAAAGGCAGCAGGTGGGCAACATAAATAGGCGGCCTGGCCGCCTCCGTCCCTCTCCTTCTGGCGCTGGCCGCGCTGACAAAGGATGCGAAAGCACCAACCAAAAGGCAGCGCCGCAGCTTCGAGTGAGCGGCATCTGCTGCCCACGCGCATATGTATATATTTATGTATATCTATAATTTGCTGCCCACCCCCCATGCCCACGGCATCTGCTGCCCCAGCGCATCTGCTGCCCAGCTTCGGATGGGCGAGGCGGAAGGCGATTTTTGGAGCAAGGAATATTGAACAACCCTCTGTGTGTGTGTGTGTGCGGAGTGGCGGAATACCCCTGCCACCAGATTTGATTATGATTACAACCGCAGGGGGCGCAGGCCCATGGAGGCGACCTTTGCCAACGAAGCTAGCCACCATGGGGGAAGCGCGGATTGATTCTTGCATGGATCTGAGGATTCAACGCGGTGACTTTGCCGCCAGGCCTTCGTGCTTGGAGGGGTCGAAGTCATGGTTGCCGCGCTCCTCGTGCACAACTGCAAACTGTTCAGAGGGTTTTCCCGACATACAAACTTGGATTCCAGCACGGCGCGTGGCCTTGTTTCCAGTCCAGCGTGGCGAAGGCGCTTTTTTCCTGCAGGTCTTGGTCAAGGAGTTGGGCTACCGCATCAACCGTACGACCAGTGCGCCTTGCCTCTGGGCGCCGAGGAGCGAGGTGACGAGGTTCCCACTCAAGAACATCGGCGTGCTTTGGGGACAAGCTGCGCTTCAGCAACGGTGGAACTGCAGTCAGAGGACCTCGCCGCGGGCTATGCCGGACGTCGCATCAGAACCGCCTCAAGCAGGCGGTCTTGGAGAAGAAGACGCTGAAGAAGAACGCCAGCGAAGTTGCGCTGACAGCCGCCGAGGAAACGCAACCGTGGGGGACTATCACTCCAATCAATTGGGTGGCTCGCGAAGGGCGCCCTGATGCCTCTGCCAGCGCGCTGGTCAGGCGTTCCCCAACCCGTTCAACTGCGTGGTTACGAAGACCAGAGGCCACAACGGCGTGCTCCGCATCTTCAGCATCCCGGACAACAAAATCCGCCACGCCGCGTCTTGATTGTGGACAGCTCCTACCCGACAGGCAAGCCGCAGCGTGGGGACCCACGGTCAACGGTCGTTTCCTCACAGATCCCAAGGCTCACCGACCCAAACCTGACAGCAGGAGGAACTCCGTAACAAGCTTTGGGGGCTGATGAAACCACCTACTAGAGCTGTTGGTCTCATTTGGATTTGTTCCGCAGGCCTTGAGCTGTTTGCTTGAGCTGTTTGGGCCGTGCCCCGGAAATGTTCTTAGGGATCCCACCCTTAGTGCGAATGTGCTGATTTTGCGTGACTAATTTGTTGTGTATTTCAATGTGCGAGCCAGTTGCAGCAAATTCGTAGTAGGAAAATATGAATTCAACCAGCCATGCGAAAAGGTAAGATTGTTGGACATTGAAAAATGTCACAGGAACAGTTGTACACTGAAAAGCGTGCGGGTTTAGTACAGGGTTGGGCGCAGGATTGGCGCGAAGCCTCACATTGGCGCGTCAAACCTCTAACCCAAAAATAGCATGCGCCCCGTACGTATTGACATCTTTGGGATGGACTTTGAACAATCTTGCACTGGCTTGGCAAGATTCGGATCGGCAGCCTCAAAACGGGAAACGCTCTGCTTTCTCTTTGCGGGCGCGGACGGGTTTGGAGCGTTCCATACTTGCGCACCAGGATGCAATGTTTGCTCGCAGGGTGAGCGAGAAAAGGGGCAGCTGATTGGTTGACAATGTATCATGAGAAGACATGCTTTACATGATGTTTGACGATTTTAAAATCCAGTTGCGCAATTGAACTGCAACACGGGTGCCCGGCAGGAGTCTTATGCTCTCAACACTTTTGTCCCGAGCTTCGCAGCCTCAAAGTGCCTTTGACCTTCTGCTGAACTCATGCTCGCAGCCAAGATTTCTCTCGGGCTGCAGGGCCCAGCGCGCTCATCTTAAAGGCAACCCTCAAGGCTCACGGCTGGGGCAACTCGTGGTTTTGCTCAACGCATATGTCAAAGACCCTTCCAGCGTGGATCTTCTCCCATTCCCGTCAAACTACTCTTGAATGGTGGACAAGTCCCAACATCCTCCATGTGATGTCAGCTTGCCCCACTCCTTTTGCAGAGCGGCCCCCGCCTTGGCGTTAGCAGCTTGCTCCTTGCTCACCGGCCCAGCGACAGGAGGGCGGGCGGAAAAACTCTTCGGGCGATGTGTCCATGACTTCCCCCAGTGCTCCAACCACAACGCAGCAGCGGCAACGCCTGAAGTACCAAACCCAACAGATCCTCCCTGATTCGCTTGGCTTTTTGTACAATTGATGCATCGTCGCAGCTTTTCCTTGTCCGCTGTTGTCCCCATCTTATGCTGGCGGCTCCTTAGGTTTTGTATGCCTTACGGCCCTGGAACAGTTTCCATTTCGGAGCTTGCCCATTTCAAGTGTTTTTGTGTGGCCTGTTCGTGGAACATCCGCTTAGCACAGCACGGAACCTGCAAGTTTTGACCAGCTGTTCAGTCGGTAATGGCTGCTCGTTCGGGAGCGCTCGGTAAGGGTGGCTGGGCGGTAAAGCGAGACGCGAGAGCTTTTGAGGGAGGAAAGTTTTCGGAATCCAGCGGGACTTGGGCTTGAAGAGGCTGGCTTTGTTTGGCTTCAAGGCCCAAGGGGAGAGCTTGGCCCTCCAGACCACGAACGGATTTCCACGAGGAAGTGCTAATTGCACTCAGTGCTTGAAACGTAGCAGCCTCTTTGACCTTTGAAAATCTTGACCTTCCACTCACAGCAGTTTTGATTTTGCAAATCCGTCGGGCACGCGGGTACGCTTCAGCCCTGCGCCCTGCGGCTCCGGGGTGCTGCGCAGCTGCTGGCACGCCTGGGGGCTTTGAAGCGCGCGCAGGCCGAGCTTGGTGGGGCTTCCTTGGTTTGGGAATTTGATGGCGTACCCATAAATAGTTGTATATATAGCTGTAAAGGCTTTTTGTTATCAAAGTAGGTGGCAACTTGACAAGGGCGCACTCCGAAATGCACACACCCATTTTGGTTTTTTGGGCTTTACTTTAACTGTGTAGGGTAATCTCATCTGGTGTCAGCATCAAGGGCTTGGGCAAAAGCAAAGCTGCCATCACACCTTTCCCTTTTTGTCATCAATGTGTTGCAGATGGTAAGTTGGCTGGAAGTCCAAATGTCGTGATCTTGTCTGGATGATGGTGGTGATGAAGGTTCTGACTTCTTAGTCTAGCCGAACAAGCAAGGACTTCTGCGAGGCTCCCTGACACCTGCCGCCTGCGTGCCACTGGGACGCAGACCCTCGCCAAAGGGCGCAAACTGCAGAGCAGCAATCATTCGCTAGGAAAAATGCCGGATAAGAAATTAGTAAGTCGAAAGACGCTACTGTAAGAGCGACTTGATGCTCGTGGTAAGCAATGCCTCGGCGCGTGTGGGCATTTTGTTTTAAACCTCTTTCTTGGTTTCATCTTCCCATCAGTTGTAGCAATGTCTACGAACTGACATGCGATCTGCGTGCCAGCAATTGATGGCAAGCATACAACACCCGCCGTGTTGCAGGATCGAGCGCTCGCAAAGGCTTGGAGCAGCATGCCGTGATGGAGTTGTTGCCTCGACCAAAAATCGTTCAGGGGGCTGAGATAACGGGATGGCTGCGCAAGGTAGAGGATGGATGGTGTCATTGCTTTTCGGTGTACTGACCTGGCAGCTGGGCTACAGCTCGAGGGGGAAGCGTCTTTACGTTTTTGCAAACATTCCTGTCAATCCAACTTTGAAGTTTGCTTCAGAGTCGGGGCTGTGGCCCTGCGCAGGCGCGGAGCCTGCAGTCCTGCATACTTTCAGGACCGGGCAAACTTGGAAAATGGGGAACTCTGATACCGCAAGGGACGTACAGATGTTCACCCAAAGGAAGAGCCAGCTATTGCGTGACAAACAGATAGCTGTGACATGTCACCAATTTGACAGACACATAACTTCAAGAGACATGGATGTGTGCAAAAAAAAGCTCTGAAAAACGATGAAGGACCAGAAAATATATAGATGCAGAAACGGGAAGTGCACAAACCACGCCTGACACAAAACGGTCTCGGAATGGTCCCCGGAGATGGGCAAGGTTTGACTTACGTGGCAGGCGAACACATTTCGTGAGAGCCGCGGGACTTTCGCAAGGTCCAGCGCAGATTTTGTGGCAGGAGTATGAAAAGATGAATACACCAGCATAGACCATATAGCGTACGCGCCTGCGGCAGCGCCCCAGCCAGCGCTCACCGCGCCTCAAAGCACCCGCGCCAGCGCCCCAATCTACATGCCCCCCAGCGCCCAGCCGTCAATGTTGCAATTTCTTTCCCTCTTCAAGAGATTTCAGAATTCTTGGACGAAACGCTGGGGAATAGTAAGATACAGAGGTCCCGGAGACGGGTCTTTCAGCGCGAAGGTTTCGCAAGGCTACTTCCGCAAGGTCAGGTGTAGCTGGATAGATGGATTCAATGGAGAAAGAGGAAGAGAGAGAGAGAGAGAGAGAGAGAGAGAGAGAGAGAGAGAGAGAGAGAGAGAGAGAGAGAGAGAGAAGAGGCAGGAGCGACGCGTTCACAAGGTCAAGCGCAGATTTCTTGGCAGGCGCCGCGATCAGGCGATCAGGTAAAGGCAAGTGGCCAGATCTCCAGATTTGGAGCAACAGTTTATCAGATTCGGGGTTTGGAAGAAGAAGCGATCCTAGGACCTTTCCCGCAGTCTCAAAGAACATTAATTGAAGAGAGTGTTTAGGGTTTGGGGTTTCCCCTTTGGAAGAGGGGCGCGCTAGCGCGGGCTTCGGAGCACTTTGGAAGGCAAGTGGCCAGATCTCCAGATTTGGAGCATGGATGGCCATTTTTACATTGCGCTATGAACCGTTTACCAGCTGGCCAAGCCCAGATTCGGATTTGGAAGAAGACGCAACCCTAAGACCTTTCCCTCTCACAGGACAGAACCCTTCTGGAAGAAAAGGGACCAAAGGAGCGGACATTATGGGAGCACTGGTGTGTTGAGGTTTAAATATTCAGTGAAGAGAGTGTTTAGGGATTAGCGCGGGCTTTGAACCACTTTGAGATTCTGGGCAGGCGCTGCACTTCCGCAAGGTCAGGTGCAGCTGGATAGATAGATAGAGCCAATGGAAAAAGAAATAGAGCGGCAGGTGGGACACTTTCACACAGTCAGGTACAGATTTCGTGGCAGGCGCAGCGCTTTCGCAAGGTAAAGTGCAGATTTCGTGGCAGGCGCAGCGCTTTCTCAAGATCGTGGCAAGCGCAGCACTTTCGCAAGGTCAAGAAGATGGCGTTGCAGGCTGATGGAAATATGGATAGGTCGAAGATGGATAGATAGACAGATAGAGAGACAGATAGATGAGAAGACACATGGACACACAGAAAGAGATTGACAGATAGCAAGTAGCAAAAAAGTGGGTCACTTCAGGCATTCAGAAGCCCCTCCTTTCAGGCCATTGTGGGACCTCTAACTGCTTCGCCGCCTCTCTCAGCTCTGCTGAGCTGCTTTGGGCGCTGTAGCCAAGAAATTCCTCAGCTTGTTGCAAAAAAGTGAGCAGGGATGTCACTCAGCAAGCCGCTTGCAGCAGCAGCTTTTTCTTTGTTTGGAACTGAAACCTTCAAGAAGTGCGTCATTTTCAGGCAGTCCGCCCATGGTTTAAGCCTTACCAACCTGAAAGTTGCCGAGTTCCAGGCCCGACGCTTGCCAGGTTCCCCCGCCCCCCGGTGAGACTAAAATGAGTGCTGCCGCACCTTAAGCCAAAACTGTTTTTCAGAAAGTCTGTGTTTGATTCCACCAACAGGTTAAACATCGGCAGGCCCGAGTTGAACCCTGAGCAAGCCCCCTAGCCTCAACCTGAACAAACCCGAAAGTTTCAAACCTATTTCAACAAGAGCAGCGCGCCAATGCCTCCGCCGAGCTACGACCAGCTGGCCCGGGACATCGAGGCTCTCCTTCGCCGTACGAGTGAAAATGCGTGTCGCAGCACATGTAAAGAAGCATGAAAAAAGTCACAGCCCAAGCTCACAAGCTGAAGACGAGGGTCTGCATCCCGACCAGTGGTACCTCATTCATTGACCCCGGATCAAGATCGCCTTCCGCGTCAGGAACACGACGCCACCAACCCGCTGGCGCCGGCCACTCCGAACCCCGCCTGTTTCATCCAGAGGATCCAGATCTTCAACATCAAGTGCACGATCTGCTGAAGGGCCGCTAGTACAACCAGAACAAGGCCGCGGAGGGCTTCGACGAGTTGCAATAGAGCGGCTACGCGTGCTGCTGTGCCCCACCATGGTGGGCATCCTGCGCTGCGGGAAGACGCCGCAGCTCCTGGTGCTCAAGCTGGAGTTTGCCGACGCCACGCCACACTGAGCACCGACTTCGAGATCCAGGTCGTTTTAGGCGCTCGTGGAGTTGTTCAATCGGGCGTTCCTCTCAGGAAGGTCCCTGGTGTTCAGCTACCCCGCGGCGCACACGCAGCAGTCGACGGTGCCGACGGGCGTGGCGGAGCCGTCGCGCGCGCCTTCACTAAACTGATGGGAGCGCTTCTGGGCGGGGAAGATCCACTTGCTTGCCAACGTGCCCGGCGCAGCCAGGCAGAAGGACACCCTCCTGGAGTCGCAGATGCAGCTGGGCAGAATGCAGTACCCGCACAACCCAATGAAAGGGAGCCTCGGAGCCCTTCCACTTCCTCTCGGTCTTGCGGGACCTACGACGACACGGTGCGCAACATCGACATCGATCGCGGGCTTCCCGACCGAAGATGCCCCTGAGCGGCGTCAGCACCCGTTCGGGCGACTGGTTCACTTTCAAGGCACTTGACCGTACGACGACGGACGTGTTCATCTACCTGATAGCTACCAGCTCTTGCGCACGGGGGTGTCGGTGCTGGACTAGCAGGGCTCCGTGAAGCTTGGAGGGTGCGGGCTCGATTCCACCCTGGCGCGGGCTATGCTCCAACTTTTTAATGCGATCCCTAGAGAAGTATTTTTCCCTTGACGTGGTCCGAGACGGATCTTTTAGCCTCCAGCCCGGTGATCCTTAGAAGAATATTCTACCCCGGCCCGAGACGGATCTTCCCAAGACGGATCTTCCCGAGACGTATCTTTTCACCTCAGCCCGGTGAGCGCCTCTCCTTAGAATAAAATTCTACCCTGGCCCGAGACGGATCCCGAGACGGATCTTTTTACCTCCAGCCCGAGACGGATCTTTTTGCCTCCAGCGCGGTGACCTTAGAATAATATTCTAGGCCCGAGACGGATCTTTTTACCTCCAGCCTGGTGAGCGCCTCTCCTTAGAATAATATTGTACCCCGGCCCGAGACGAATCTTCCAGAGACGGATCTTCCCGAGACGGATCTTTTTAACATTATACTCCGGCCCGAGACGGATCTTCCCGAAACAGATCCTCCCGAGACGGAGACGGATCTTTTTACTTTCAGCCCGGTGAGCGCATCTCCTTAGAATAACATTATACCCCGGCCCGAGACGGATCATTCCCGAGACGGATCTTCCCAAGACGGCTCTTTTGTCTCCAGCCCGGTGAGCGCCTCTCCTTAGAATAATATTCTACCCTGACCCGAGACGGATCTTTTTGCCTCCTGTTCGGTGAGCGCCTCTCCTTAGAATAATAGTCTACCCTGGCCCGAGACGTCTTTTTGCTTCCTGCCCGGTGCGCGCCTCTCCTTAGAATAGTATTTCCCCAGGCCCGAGACGGATCTTTTTATCTCCAGCCCGGTGAGCGCCTCTCCTTAGAATAATTTTCTACCCTGGCCCGAGACGGATCTTTTTGCCTACAGCCCGGTGAGCGCCTCTCCTTAGAATAATATTCTACCCTGGCCCAAGACGGATCTTCCCGAGCCAAGAGCTGTCATATTGGCCTCCATGTTCATGGACAGTTGGGTCTCTGCACATTCGGGCAGTGCGCTTGCTCTTGGTTTTGGAGCGCCAGTAGTTGTTGAGCTCCTGAGTGCCAGTTGGAGACGCCACCCTCAAAGATTCGTCCTTGATGCCCAACCCTTGTTCCATTGCGTCTCTTTCTCCTTGCCAGGGGTATAGCCATTTGAGGGCAGTGTCTCATTCTTGAGCATGAAACGCTTGGCGGTGTCATCTCGTTCAACCATGGCATCCTTGCTGGAAACCCACCCAAGGTGTTTTGAACCACCTTCAGACTTGCACCTCTGGGCTAAATCCTTCTTGCAGGTGGCGCCAGCCTGTACATGCCAAATCGAGCTGTCTTCATGATGAGCTCGCGAAAGTGGAGTGGCCCCTTTGCAGGGCATGCCCATTGATGAGTCGTATTGCATGCATGGCCCCTCAAAGGTGACACCACACACTAGCAACAAGTATGATTGAACCAGCGCAACAACCATTCTGGGCTCTAAAGTTGATGACGTTCAAGAGTTTTTGTTGTTCTGTTTTCCCAGCCGCAGCAGAACTTTTCAACGGTGACTTATCCACAGCCCTGCTCTTGTCACTTGCTCCCTTGGATGCCTTTTTGCGCGACATGATGGTAGCTGAGGGGCGGTAAGCTACATGCTCCATCCAGGCAGCTTTACAAGCGCAAATATGAAAGTTATACAGGGTTGGAAAAGTTACAGCGTAAAGGAAACCAGGGTTGAAAAAGTTAAGCAATTCAACCTTCTTCAACTCTTCTCAACCTTACCAGTTTGTGAGCCATCTGGTTGAACCCTGTCAGTCGTGAACACACGCACATTTGCAGTCCAGCTCTTCACTGCTCATGCATGTTCATGGACAAGACAACCCCCCATTGCATATCAGTGCCCCCCGCAGAGGATGCAATTGCAAATCCGTTCAGCGCACGAT